GGAGGAGGGACAGAGTGAGCGGGCAAAAACTCAGTGTCAGGGAGGGAGGATGTCAGATCGGCTGATTGGTTCAGTTTGTAATTTAATAAAAGGGAGTATTTACTAGCTCTTCTTTGGTTATTAAAAACATCTTTGGATATTAAAATGTTCTTTTGGTCAAAAGGATGTTTTCACACCAGGTTACCATAGAATGACATAAACTTCTAATGTGACGTCAGAACACAGAATAAGAAACTCCCTTTGACATGGACCTGTAGAAGGATTTGAGGGAGAAGGGTCCGGGACAGGAATTCCAGGAGAGAGACCACGAGGCGGCTACATGGTTCAGGAGAAAGGCTGTGGGCTGTCGACCCAGGCAGACGTGCATTAGGATCCAAGCTCAACCCCTGAAAAATCTGTGGGGGCTCAGACACATCCTGTGTCCTCTTAAAGCCCCAGGCACCTCATCTGCAAATCAGGGATCACAATTTGCTGTTAGGATGATATGCCATATGTGTAAAGTGCCAACTGCAGTGATTGGCACATGTTAGGACATTATTGAATATTATAGAATGTAAGGTGGAAATAGCAGAAAAGAATGGACCCTGAGGAGGATCAGCATCTGCTCCCAAGCAGCTGGAGGAACACTGAGAGGGGAAGGGTAGTCTCCAAGTATAGACTTGCCAAAGATCCAGGAGACTTTTGAACGTAAAGTTCAATATTTGGACCTTGATCAGGGGGGAAATAGGGAGCAACTCAAGGATATCATGTAGACCCCAGAATTTCTGAAAATCAGTGCCTGACTGCGTTTCCTGAGTGATTCTGTAATCCTCAGGGTGATTCTTTATTAAGACCATGTCTGCATAATTAAAGAAATGACCCTTGGAGTTCATCTCCCTTCCTAGACCACAAATGGATTCATTCATTCATGATTCATGAAATACACAGGTGAGGAATGCATGCTCTGGATTTGGACTCCTTTGATGAATTTTGTCACCTACGCTATTGGAAGCTTCATTTGGTTTTATGAATCTCATGGTGCCTCCATGTCTTCTAATGTGAAGCAGCACCAACCTCTTTGGGTGACTGTGAGTAGCAAGTTAGCAAAGAACTAAGAACAGTGTCTGGCATTGGAGGAGGCAGGTAGGAAAAAGAGAACCATTGTTTTCTCACATGCATTGAAAAACTGTGTGTGTCATTACATCCCAGATAAGACACTGGCCACAAACATGAGCAGACACAAATAACCCCTGATTTCGATTCTCTGCGTGTTTTCACATCCTTGTCCCCACTACTAAGCCCAGGTCCTGTTCTGGGGTAGTCATCAGTAAGTGTTCGTGGTGAACAGGAGCTAATGAGTAACTGAATGAGAACAGCATGCTACAAACTATCCTTCAAGAAGATGAAACTAGTGGAGGAAAGAGAAAGGGTCTGTAAGCACGTGCTAAAGACCTGTGAATTCAGAAATGGAAGAGGAGTGGGTGGGAACGACTATAAAGATCGTCCAACTCGTGGAGAACAGAGCAACTCATCGACTTTGGCCGAGGAGGTAAGGAGGGAGGAAAGGCTGCAGTTTCCAGTGTGGGTGTCGGAAGGATGGGGATTCCATTTGTGGAAAGAAGAGGCTCCAGAGGAAAGTAGACTTTACTTTTTACATATTGAGCTTGCCATGCCAGGAAGAAGTAAAAAGGGAAGAGACTGCTCATCCTAACAATATTATTGAATGTCAGAATCTATGCAGAGAATTCTCCCCAAGTTTAGTCCTCAAAACAACCCTGTAAATCATACAGAATATCATCCCCTTTGACAAAGTAAGATTCTAGGCAATTCTCAAGAACACTCATAAATGGTGACTCGTTGAGCCAAACCCAGGAGGGTCTCTATTTTTTCATCAAGTTTAATGGACACATAAGAAGTGTGCCTATTTGTAGGTTATGGTGTGATATTTCAGTAGGTGTCTGCAGCCTATAATGACCAGATCGGGCTAATTCACATCCACACCACCTAGGACATTATCATCTTTGTACTGGGCACCTTCAAATCCTTTCCAGCCATTTAAAAACATACAGCGACTTATTTGTACAGTTACCCAACTGTGCTGCAGGAAAAAAACAGAACTTATTCCTCGCGCCCAGCTCTCTTTTTACTCTCAATCAACAATGTCATTCTGTCCCCTCCCCCGAACCCTTTCTAGCCGGGCAACCACTGTTTCCTTCTCTGCGTCTGTGGAATCTACCTTTTTTAGCCTTCACATATAGGAAGAGGATGTATGTGTTTTTCTGTGACTGGTTTATTTCTCTTCCCATAATGTCACCTAAGCTCACCCATGCTGCCACTAATCATAGAATTCTATTCTTTCTCAAGATCAAATGATGTTCTGTTGTCTATTATGGACGTGAATTCTGTATCCATATGTCCATTGGTGGCCAGGTCTGTCTCTTTCACACCTATTTCTTTTATTTGTTTATCTGTTTATTTATTTATCTGTTTGTTTGTTTGTTTTTGGTGCTAGGGATTGAACCCAGAGGTGCTTAACCACTGAGCCACATCCCAGCCCTTTCTGTATTTTATTTTGGAGACAGGGGCTCACTGAGTTGCTTAGGGCCTCACTTTTGCTGTGGCTGGCTTTGAACTCCCAATCCTCCTGCCCCAGCCTCCTGAGCCACTGGGATCAGAGACATGCACCACGGCTCCCAGATTCACACCTCTT